TGCAATATAATACTGAAGATATGTTTTTTCAAACGAATACTGTTGCCTGGAATCAGAGGTGAAATACACACACGTCAGATTGTCTTACGTAAATCAATGTTTTCACAATAAAATTAATATTACCCAGCCGATGTTAAATATTTATATCTCTTATGAATTTCAACTTATAATATATATCTATATGTATTTTCAGTTAAGAAAAATATTGATAACTTGTTTCTGTGGTGTCAGGTTTTATTAGGCTAATGGACCAAGTATGAGATACATTTTTATTTATAAATATAAAATTATATAGGCGATCGAAACACATATTTGACTAACACAATATGCATGTACCAGCATTAATAAGATTTATTAATTTATATGTTAATATGGGTTCCTTGACATTCTCTAATAACAATTTCATACCTTTATTTTATCTCTTATTTCATTTCAACTTCAACAGTATTTGCTAAAGTCTTATAGGGATCTTCAAAAATATTTTTCATTCTTATCTACAGATATTTTAATGATGGTTCACAAGTTTTCTATTGTAGATACTGTGGACCATTCCTTTACTTTAGTGTCTTTGAAACATTTTTGTTAAATATGGGTATTAGCCAGCTTTACAAAATACAAAGAAGCACCGTCCTGCATTCAATATTTTCCAGCTTTTTGGCTATGACCTTACCAGTAAAAAAAAAAAAAAAAACTTTGTCCAAGAACCTTATTGTATTTATAACATCATCAACTCTAAATTTGGCCCCATTCTGCTTTCTACAATGCTATCTGCAAATATTAACTTTCTAACGTCTTGTCTTCGAAGTCATGTTGGTTGACTAATTCCATTAAACAATCTGTAGCATTGCCATCAGGTCAATCCAATGTAGCTCTAAATTCATTATTAAAAATTACTGCTGGGAAATCAGCTTTTATTTATTGTTTGTTTGTTTCACTTAAAAGTGGTACTTTACTTGCTTTCTTCACATCTTTAGTTAGTGTTCTTAAAGTTCAGCATCTTATCTCTCTGTTCACATTCTCAACATCAGTGTTTTCTTGTTTGTACTCATTTTGTCTCAGATTACGTTTTGTGATATTCTTAAAGTTAGTTTTTTCTCCTTCTTATCTTACCAATGTTTTCAATTTCTTTTTTTTTTATTGTTCTTTTTCTCAAGTTGTTCTCATCACTTGATACAGTTGCTATTTCTTGTTTTAAGCTTATTTCAATCTTAAAACCCATCAGACTCTTGATATATCTTAAAATAAAATATATATATATATCAAGAAGTATAATATTATTTATTCATAATATGTTGACCAGCACACGAGTTGTATAAAAAATAAAAAAACATATCACCAAATAATGTATTCTTTTATAAAACAGGCATCAAAACTTCATGTATTATATTATATAAATAGATGGGTTATTTAATAACAATATTGTAAAATGTTGTCTTGCATAATAAAATACCTCATAATACATACATATATATATATATATATATATATATATATATATATATATATATATATATATGAATGTGTGTGTGCGTGTCTATGTGTGTGTGTGCGTGTCTGTCTGTTTTTGTCTATTTTTGTGCTGTCGTAAAGCTTTTCTCAATTACCAAACGCTTCAGATGAATAATTTTATATTTAACAATGTATTTCTTGATAACTGTGTAGTTTATCGACTGACCACCCCCATCCACCAGGATTTTCAGGTCGCTGTTTTTACACCCCCGTACTAAGTAAAAAATAAGAATTTTTGCCATTTTCTACATCCTAAATAAGAATTATCGAAGAAAAAGCCGATTGAATCAATTCCTATTTTATCTGCAACCAATAATCGAAAAATAAAATAAATGGATTTTTGTCCTTCCTTCTGTAAAATATTTTTCGGTCACAATAGATTTATGGAAGGAAAAACTGTTTTATTCCACTTAATTTATTAATGTTAACGCCCATCTTTAACCAAACACTTGACACTGTATCAATCACTCCAAGTATTGAATAGGCATGAAACGAAAAATTTATTCGTTTATATCTCAAAAGTTCTTCAGTGTCTGCACCTGGATAGAAATGGTCATTGGCGGCTGAAACATGGCAGATTTTGGATATTTTGGTGAAGGCTGAAAAATGTTCTGTATTAATTCTTAATCTTTGTAAATAAGTTTATCTTTCATCAGTCACGCTTATCATTACTGATAATTGATAATTACGAGTTTAATATATTTTAATGAATACGTTTGATGAAAGAAAACTTTTCCATCAAAATGTTGCAACCTCGGAAGGGTTGCTGAATAAGGAATAACCAAAACGGAGGTTGGAAATGAAATGGTAATCGTTATAGCATCAACAAAATATAATACTCGCCAGCGGCGTGAAGTAGAGGTAAACCACTGCTAGTGATGGACTACTTAGACAGCATATTACCCCTAGTTATCAAACGTATTTATGAGTATTGGGACATACATATTAGTGTTCATTGGTACCCCATATTATATATATATATATATATATATATATATATATATATATATATATATATATATATAATAGACTGTCAGGTGACTAGCAGCAAAATGGAAGGAGACCTATACGAGAAAAAGTCAAAAACAAAGAAAAGCAGAACAAAAAATCTCCGACCGCCACCTAAAATTAACCAACGAAGTTCTATTCTTAGGTTATTAAGACAGGGCAAAACACGCTTTAGATCGTCCACAACTCAAGAGAAAAAGTTCGGAACGCTACTTAAGTCTCATGCCCCTACGATCGTCAGACAACCATATATATATATATATATATGTGTGTGTGTGTGTGTGTGTGTGTGTGTGAATGTATTTAAGCATGTATCTTATTTTCCTTTTACAATAGTCCCTTTACTACAAAATACATTTCGTATCTACACCCCAATAATAGATTAAGTTTATATTAAATTTGAGCTTTGAATCTGCATTTAATTTAGCGATCCTCCCATGAAATCCAGTATCTTTAAAAAAAACAATTGTAATAGGCCTGCATTCATCAGTTCATGCCTTATGAATTGCTAGAACCATGAAATTTGTTGCACTACAAACGTCGGTATATGTATATTTATAAATATCTACATCTTAGATCTGTCTAACCACATTGACAACTGTTTTGTTTACACATTATATTAAACTGTAAATATTGATTCGCTTACCTGAGTATGCACGCTAACGTACGTATATATAGTTGCTAATATCTAATTATTTTGTTTATATCCACATTTATATTTATATATATGTGTACCTGTGTGTTTGTGTGCATATTTAATCAAAAAAAAAAAATGAACGTATGTATATATATTTAAAACTTGGTATATTCATTGTGGTTAGTTCTTAATATTGAGAATAGAGCGTTTGCCGCTAAAGTCAGTGTGAACGAAGAAATCAACACTGCATAGTGACTGTCAGTTTCACTCTTCTAGCTATCATTCGACATGATCGAAACCTGAAACTGACAATTACCACGCAATATTGATTTGTGCCCACACTTTCTATTTTGTTTGTGTATGTAATCTTTAAGCAGTTAATGGATTTTTTTTCTTCGACATTACATTTTATTACAGAAAATATTATTTTAGTGAGTACACGTGTTTGTGTAGACATCAGTGTTTTTAAACAATTAACTTGATACATTCAGGCATAGAAATCGAAAGACTGATTTTTTGAAAGGGTAATTTTATTTATTAAGTCTCCCAATCTCTAGGTATGCAGGAATGTCTGCACAAAAAAGGCGTATCCGCTCATTATAAAATTTATAGTAATACGATATATATATATATATATATATATATATATATATATATATATATATATATATATATATATATATATATACCGAAATATATAGGTATAAGTATCAATACATATATCTTAATATTTAAAATTACGTATACATCTCACATCTCCAGAAGTGTTTTCTAACACCTGCGAATGGTTCTATGTAATATATATATATATATATATATATATATATATATATATATATATATATATATATATATATATAATGTAGAATTTTGATTCAAATTATTGAATCGGTATTCGACTAGTAAATACGGATAAAATATGAAGGTATTTATTTGATGTTTTTTATATGATACGATGAAAATAATTCTCAAATTCTAAACAAAAGATGAGCAAAAATGTTCAAAAAGAAGTAGACATCATCTTTTAAGAATGTTCACCTTTTTTGTGCCGTATCGTTTCAGGATGTAGACGATCATGGCTCTCCATACCATCCTATCCTTTATAAGCAATATTGTCTTCTGAATATCCCGACCAATCTTTACTCTGCCTTCCATTTACACAAGCTCGTCAGATAAATTACTTGCTGTTTACCTGAGCCCTAATTTTTCTTCAATATCTCCTGTGAGTGGCAAAATCTCTAAGACACCTTACCTTATTACGTGACCCAGAAAATTCAACTTATTGTGCAATTATTGTATTTCTCGAGCTGCTCTTTTTACGAAAGTGTTGTAGTCTCTATAAAGAAAAATCATTTAGTCTATATTTTTGTCTATATTTTTTGTTTATATTTTTATACTATAAAAAACTGGTGCAGTGAAACTTAAAGATGCAGTTTAATCGAATATTATTAATTTATTCCTTCATTTTTATTTTTTAACGTGGTTTAAAAATGATCGATATTAGAGAAAGTTTTGGAAAATATTTGTTCCGTGTTAAGATAAGAAAGAAAATATATAATAAAAATCAATAATTAGCATAACAATAAAGAAAAGAAAATATTATTAAACATGGCAAAAATATTGTAACGTTGCACACGTAAACAAAATTCAGACCAGATCGATCATCAAAAAATGTAGTCGTTCTACATTGCACACATGCATACTGGCGCCCTGAAACTATTTGCTCATTTCTCAAGGATTCAATTTAATATGTGCTCATACATTTTATGTTCACAGATATAAGTTAGAATGATTACGCACACATATTCAAATATTGTTCCGACATTGTATAAACTCCATTGTATCTATGTCAGTCTCTTCAGATCTATCTATCTATCTATCTATCTATCTATCTATCTATCTATCTCATTCTGTTCGTATATCTATCTATCTATCTATCTATCTATCTATCTATCTATCTCATTCTGTTCGTATATCTATCTATCTATCTATCTATCTATCTATCTATCTCATTCTGTTCGTATATCTATCTATCTATCTATCTATCTATCTATCTATCTCATTCTGTTCGTATATCTATCTATCTATCTATCTATCTATCTATCTCATTCTGTTCGTATATCTATCTATCTATCTATCTATCTATCTATCTATCTATTCGTCGGTTTGTATCTATCTATCTATCTATCTATCTATCTATCTATCTATCTATTCGTCGGTTTGTATCTATCTATCTATCTATCTATCTATCTATCTATCTATCTATTCGTCGGTTTGTATCTATCTATCTATCTATCTATCTATTCGTCGGTTTGTATCTATCTATCTATCTATCTATCTATCTATCTATCTATCTATCTATCTATCTATCTCAGTCAGTTCGCATCTATCTGTCTGTGCTTCAGTATTTTCATATGTTATTTCTATGTACAAATTAACGATATCAGTTCGTACGAATATTTCTTTCTATCACACGTACAAACACACACACACATATATATATATTGGATGCGATGGGTAAACTTTCGCCATTTTTACTTTTAATTTCCCACATGTGCTTCGTTTTTTTTTTTTTTTATTTTGTCCACTTTTGTATAGTAGGGGCACCACAACTCAGAAATTTCCGCCAGAAATTTGGAAACGACATGCTGTACTGCTTGCCATTCCAGTGCGAACATTTCAGTGTTTGGGTGTTAATCTGAGGACAGTGCAAAGGATTTGGAAGGTGTTGGATAAGTCTAATGATGATTATGAATGTATTTGGGGGATCACTATTGATGGCAACGTTATGCCGCCATTCATCTTCCCACAGGGCCTCAGAATCAACACGGAAGTCTAAATCACGTGCCTTTAGGAGGTAGTGCTGCCCTGGTTCAAGAGGGTGGCTGCTGAATGATCCTATATCTGACCGAAGATTATGCACCATGCCACACAACCTGGAGAAAACAATCATGGCTGTTAGATAATTTCTGCAACCACATCATCCATTACATCTGGCCACCTAACAACCCAGACTGTAGTCCCTTTGATTATTATGTGTGTGGCGCAGTTGAGCAAGAGACCAGAAATCTCCTTGTAATACCAAAGATGAATTGAAGGCAAGGATTATGGCAGCATTGATGAGACTAGATCATCAATGTTTGTCAGGCTTATTATAATCGTTATCAAAATATACTACTGGTATAACTTCGTTGTTAAAATGATTTCAATCCTCTAAGTAAAATATAGAGTTTTATAACATCTCTGTGCATGAAATTAAAAAAAAAATGGTATCTTATTATTAATTGTAATAATTCTATAAAAATAAACGTTTATTTAAAAAAAAAATTCAAACATGCAAAACGTGTGTATGTATTTCGAGGGCGTGTTTGTATATATGTGTATATTTGTATTCGTTAGTGTATTTATGTATCTCTTTGTTCGTGGGTTTTTAGTTTAATTTATTATACTACTGACTGATATCATATTTCCTCAAGACTACTACAGGCACCCCAACCCTCCAGTCGACGGAGTAAAGCTGCCACATTTTTTGATTTTTGCCGACTTTAAGTCGGGATAAATTTAATTTGCCTCTTCTTAATTGATTCATTCCGCTAAAAAAACTTATACTGTACGGAATAAATTATTTAAAATTAACATTTGAAAACAATATGAAACAAAATTATGTTCTTTGAAAAACAGTGCATACAAGTCATTAGAGATTTTTAAAAGATCATTTATAAAAGTAAAGCTAGAAATATATTGTTTATTAAGTATGTAACCAGTTTGAAAGGTCTCAGATCTACGCAGCCCAACTAGTCATATTAATTCTATTTCATTCTTTTTTTACTTTCTTTCTTTATTTTTTTTTCTTTTCTTCTTTCTTTCTTCTTTATTATGAACAGTATCAACGAAATTTTTTCGGTCAATATTTTGAGTCACGGAGTTAAAACAAATAATTTTGGGTCCAGCTGAAATCAAAAATGAAATTGACGCACTAGGAAAGATTTTTTGTTGCTTTAAAATAGATATACTTGAATGTTGACTCGCTCGGGCTGAGCCAGACAAATCCGTTCCCGGGAGTCGCCTATGATACATACATACATACATACATATATATATATATATATATATATATATATATATATATATATATATATATATATATATAAGCTTACGGTATGTAGACATTTAAATATATTTTGTCTTCATTTTCTTCCTTGTATATTTCTATTTTTCTACGGATATGTATCTGCGTACACACGTTTTTATTTGTTCGTGTTCCTGTGTACTTCCCTGATAATGTATCACTGTATACACAAACTTATTTATTTCGCTCTCCATTCTCCTTTCGTATAAACAGATAAACACTAAACACATGCATGAAAAGGTAATCTATCTGAAAGTGTAGTCCACGCATGCAAAGCCATACGTGGACTAGACTAAAATAAGTCTGGTATACATCTACAATAGTGTCATTTCAACTCAGAGCTATAACATCTGAGATGAAATTGCACATTGTTTCTGTTTGACAGTCGACCAGGTTTGTGTTTGGGTGAATAGGACATTCAATGAACGTCATTTTCAATTCCATACAATCTAAATCTCACTCACTCACTCTTTATTGTTTAGTTGAACTTATATTTGAAAAAATGTTCCATTTTTTTTTATTTTTAAAAGTTTGTATTACGTCTATTGGCTTGCGCTCTGCTCTTCAACAAGGATCAAAACTTGTCTCGCTTTGTAGGAAAAACGTTTGAAGCAATAAAATCTCAGATTAAAGATTTATTCTTTTATATATATATATATATATATATATATATATATATATATATATATATATATATATAAAGTTTCGTAGTTAATCTTTCTCGAATATCATTTTCTATCTTTACATGGACATTGTTTCTAAATAAAAAAACCGTATCTGATTTCCCGTTGTCCAATGTTTTTATCTGTAGTTTAAAAAACAGGATATTAAATCTTAAGTTTTAACATTGGGAATATCATTCTTTGGCTATGCTCGCAACACAAATTCCGGGCGTTGTAAAATCAATACAATCGTGTATCTGTGACATCAGCATATGAATCGTATATTTTTCTTTCATTGTTTTTGAGTGTCTATTTGTTCTATACTTGAATAGTTTCCCTTCATAAATTTGCAAACCGTATTTGTACGTCTCTCATATTTTTTTATCTCATTCTCACACACAAATGTCATTCTTTTTCCTATTTACCTACCATTGGTAAGGAGGAAGTTTCACTCGTACAGCTATCTTCACCGGAACTGTTACGTTGTTGAACACTCCCGAAAGGATACTTCCCCGATGACTATAATCATAACTTAAGTCTAGTGTCAGACGTTATCTATCCTACGTATCCTTATGATATACACCTCTTACACCTTCTTTGTACGCCCTTACAACCATTGACCTTGAGTAGCTGTTGGACTACGTATTGAGTGAACATCTTTTATTTTCTTACATCTTGATATATGACCTCTTTTTTGTTCAACGTTTCTTTACATTGATTTAAGTAGATATGACTTCATACCAGATTATAACACCAAATGCACATATGCACAAGGGAAAACCAACCGAGACTGCCAATTAATAAAGCCAACCGAGACTGCTCGTTACTTAAGCCCACCTTGACTGCCCGTTGCTAAAACCAACCGAGACTACCCGTTGCTATCGCCAATGATTTATCTGTTTCATTCTTAGTATGTTCATTATCGTTCCCTAGAAATACACCTTTGTTGCCTTAAATAACCCCTTCATCTGTAAGGAAATTGTCCAGAATTCACTATTTCATAGGATGATTAATATCACTTAGTAGTTCAGCGCTTTTTCTTTGTTTCCAACCAAAATTTTCCTTTTTCTTAATACTTTGCTTTTCTTATGGAAGGAATCTTTCGCTATTCCAAGCGCCTTCCGATTTCGGTCTCATATTTTCCGTCGTTTGTTACAACAATTCCCGGATAGTTGAATATCCGTTCGTGTTCAGTTCATAGAAAGGATCTTCGGCTCTTCCTCTTGATAATGTTCAGACATTCTGGATGTTCATCCAGATATTTTGGATAGTTGTTCTCGTTTTCCTATATTATTTTGTTTTTGGTCTCCTGCAGTTGTCTTTCTGTGTCAGCCATCAACACAATCTCATATACGTATCTGTTATGTCACAAATCCAGGTAAGACGTCTCGTTCTCTTGAGATCCCCTTGCAGTATAGGTGAGAAGTAGCCTTGGTTTACACCCCTTGAAGATAGACTAGTTAGTTACAAAATTTAAATGGTACTAGCAAAGTGGCCCAAGATCTGAACACCCATTGAATATACGATATGCAGATGAAGGGTATGATTTAGCAAGAATTTCTTATTAACCACCCCTTTTACCGGAATTGAAGATAATACTAATCATAAATCACCCGTTTTGTTTGCATAACTCTTAGTTTTTCATATTCATCTTTCTTCTAATCTTTCTATCTCAAAAGCACTTCCTCTTCTACTAGAGTCTTGTTCACAGATAGGTAGAAGCTTTTTAGTTTGGTCAGAGACTGAGAAACATTTGTTTGTAATAAGCCTGCTAAAATGGTTGAAGGAGAGGAAAACTTTCTGAAGAGAATTAAAAAAAACAAAAAACTTTTCGCTTCGATTTTATTTCATCAATTTTTTGTTTATCCCGCAGCTGCTCATGTAAAGCTGAATTTAACTTGGAACCAGGCTGGAGAAAGCCTTTCTAATCCGTTTCATATTCACGGAAGGCTGGATTGAAAATAGCTTCTCGATAACTGCCTAACTTACCCATAAAGACTTTCCACCACTATATGTGTATGCATGTTTGCATTATAAGGAACTATTCGTGCAAATTTGTGATTCAGTCTAAGACGAAAGAGATCAAAAGGATTCTGGAGAAAGCGAAATTCTAAGTCCATAATAAAAGTGAAAACGGAAGTATTTACTTTGATTGTCTTTAATAATTGCAATTTTTCCTTTTTCTTGTACGCTCCCATAGAAACCTAATTCTCTCCCTCTCTCTCTCTCTCTTTCTTTCTCTCTCTCCCTCTGTATTTTCCTTATTATTGTATTTTTATTCGATAATCTCAAACACAGTCCTTTCTTTCTTGTCATCCATATTTATATTCTTTTCTATCTAAGGCATTCTCCTCTATATATCACTTTTAATATTTCCTCCATCAGAAATATATTCTCTTTCGTTCTCTGTCTCTTTCATTGACTGTCTCTTTCGGTCTCTTTCTTTCACTCGCTCTAATTCTTACTATTGCTCTCTCTTTCTCTATCTCTCCTTCTCTTGATCTCTCTCCCTTTCTCTCGGTCTCTATCTCGCTCTATTTTTCTTTCTCTTTTTTTCTCTTTCTCCTTTTCTCTCTTTCTTTCTCTTTTTCGCTTTCTTTATCACGCCCGTTCTTACTGAAACATATATTTTCGGTTTCATGAAGAGTTTTGTCTTCATGATTGCAGCTAATATTTAATGACCCTATGCCAGACTTATAAAAGTCCAAAATATATTCCTCTCTCTCTCTCTCTCTCTCTCTCTCTCTCACACACACACACACACACACACACACACACACACACACACAAAATTTATCTTCGATTCTGCTAGTTGCTTATTTCTTCTTTAATTTCTTTCCTCGTGTCTAGGCTTCTTTCACTTATGACACCAATGCACACCAAGAGCGAGAAATATATGAAGCTCGATTTCATTTTAGCAAGATCTGGTATAAATCTATCGTGGGATAAGATATTCGCAGAAGATTATGCAGCACCAGTTATGTAAATAAAGGACCAGTTTAGTGGAACAGAAAAAGTTCCGTATTCAATGATTGGTTTAGAATTTGTCTCTTGAATTTTGTCGCGAATACAATAAAACTATTAGTAAGGATTGTAAAATATACTTACGTAAAATAAACATTATCCACTATAGATGTGCGCCTATGCGTAATGGTCGAAATCTGGTTTTTGTGTGTTGAATTCAATTCCTACCGAAGTCACTGTTTTCGATTTTGCTCAAATACGCTTGGAAATGTATAAATCCATTTCTTCTCCCTCCAGCTAGAGGTTAATAACAAGCTCTAAATTAAAAACCAACTCTCTTGCCCAAGGAACACCAATGCTGATCTGGCTGTAATATATTACGACCTTAATAAGTTCGTGACGTGAAATGAATGTATTTAAATGCACACCTATTAGTGTGAAACCAATGTTTACCAGACTAGTTTTATTTCGGTCATATATCTTGAATAATGACTCTGTTGCAGTTGAAAATCTATTATCACTAAATGTAAACTTTATTTATTTATTACAGCAATTTCAGCTTTTATGCATTTGGACCGAGCTTAGTTCTTTTGTCTTTAAAATGTCGACTTAAATATGCAATATCATGTCCAAGACTTAAATATGCAATATCATGCCCAAGACAATACCAATAAAACTGTTGTTTTCATTTAGAATTTGACATTAAGTGGGTGCAACAGTATTCTTTATCTAGAAAAAGAAATGCCTTTCATACAGGAATAGCGAGCTTGTTTTGCAGGATATTCCTGGTGGAATGCCTTCAACCATAAGCGAGAGTTTTACTTTTGTGTAAAAACAAGCTCAGCTGTATCAATATCTAATTTAACTTGAATTGTTCTTTATATGCTTTTTTAAAAACTTTTTCAAAGAATACTAGTTAAAAGCTTCAGAAAAATGACTGGCGATCGGACGGACTTCAAGGAAGAAAGTAACATTAATGATTCCATTTAGCGCGCAGGCTTTAATTATATAAGTTTAATTATATCATCTTGCCTGTTAATCAACTATTATACAACAAAACCTTGTAATCTCAACAAAGATAAATGTACTCTGTGCCTATTAGAAAAAACGAACTATTCTCTAACACATCGATAATAATAATCTGCCGAACAAGCGCAATGAGCTTATGAGCCACAGAAAGAAATCTCTTTTCAAATATTTCGAAGCTGGCTATCATTTCTGCAATATTCCAAAATGAGCTGCCTCTGATATTTATTTATTTTTTCCATATCCAGTTACCTCCCTAACACCATCCTAGCGATTTTTTTAATTTTCTTTTATTATTTTTTATTATTTTATCGTTTTTCTTTTCTTTGTCCTATATTCCATTTTGCCTACCACGCTTTTTATTTGGTAACTACCAACATTTTTAGTTCGTTTATTTTTCGACATACACCTACCAACACTCTATATTTTGAATTTAACCCCAATACCATATTATATTTATAATAATCTTGAACTCTGCATCTACACACAATATAGCCTTCTCCCATGAGACCCAGAAATTAAAAAAAACAAACAACCTTATTGAACAGTTCGTAACTTTTATATCTGATGATTGACAAAGCTATGGAACTCTGAGTCATATTGTAAACGTAGGTGTATATGTAATTATTAATATATAATTTATAGATATGTTTAACTACATTGAGCACTGTTTTGATTGATTAAATAAATAGTTATTTGCTCACCTGTATGTGTACGTCATCGTTCATATATATGGTTGATCGTATCTCATTATTTAGATTTTTCTTTCTATCTATTCTCTCTCTCTCTCTCTCTCTCTCTCTCTATCTATATATATATATATATATATATATATATATATATGTCTGTGTGTGCGTGAAACGTACTTGTAGAAGGTATAGTCGATAGATATTAATGGAATATACAATGCATTGAAAAGATGAAAAAGAAAATCTAATTAAACTTATGTTTTGATCTTTTTTTGAATAACTTTCTATATTTTACAACAAAAGTCTCAAAATTTCTTTTCACTCTAAGCGAAGAAGTTAACGTTGTTTGGTCTCTTCATCATTTCGTACTTTTCTGCTTCTATCTCTTTGTATCTTCGAATTACGTTTACAATACTTTGATCTTCATGTATCAATGCAGCGTTCTCTGATTTGATCTTTATTTAAAATGATGTCTGAAGCAGCTTCTGTAGCCCCAAACAATTTTATGTTTTTCAACAACTGCCCCCCCCGACCTTCAGGTCCATCGACATCCTAAACAATTCTTTTCCTTACAGGCTTTGTGTTTGTGTTGTCAAAAGGTTAGGAATACGTGCAAGTATGCTTTTGTTTTAATCTTAAAATCTTCTGCAATTTTGATCACAACGTCTGACAAATATATATTAGAGTTGAACTAATGTACCTATTCAGTATTCAGAGGCATACGGCCATATCACGTTAAAACATCGGTTCCCGTATGATCATCGAAAAGCGACTTCGAACCTGGTCATTACCAAGCTGGGTGACCGCTTGGGAATACCAGCTTGTATATGCTGGTAATGTAATAGATAGTGGCTCGGATTGAGGAATCGTTTCAATTCCAGTCGGATTCGCTATATTCAAATCTGCGGAAATTTCCTTGGTAGTGGTATGAATCCAACTCTTCACCCGCAAGCTATGGGTTAATTAGTCGGAATTGTACTAGTAAATCTTTATTATCTAAAAAAAAAAAAAAATATATATATATATATATATATATATATATTATATAAATAATATATATATATATATATATATATATATATATATATATATATATATTTTTTTTCTGGCAAAAATAATCCAATAACGGGGATACAGCGTTTACAGATATAGACAATATGGATATAGCAATAAACACTGCATGGCTACAGGCAGCTTAACACGTTAAGTGCCATGAACTGATGATCGCTTAAGGCGTGAAAATGCAGTTCATCAAGTATTGATTTCTATCTCCACAATCTATCTATCTATCTATCTATCTATCTATCTATCTATCTATCCCTCTAGTCTCTAATGAAGGAAGAATAATTGATTTTGTATAAAGATTTAATTTTCAGCACAATCTCCTTTCTTGTAAATGCACTTAACGCAACATTTCATAGCTAATCATGTGCGTCTTACATTATGCAGTGAAAATTTCAGATCAAAAATCAGGCGATAATTGCACGTTACGCTATGAGCCTTCTGATCCGCACTTGTATTTACATTTGCATATGTACATCTGTGTGCGCATATGCATGCATACATACAAAATGCATTTACACACACACACACACACACACACACACACACACACACACACACACACACGTAAAGTGTACGTAACTCATGTTTTGTTCAAGTACTTTTTTATTGTCTCAGACATTATCAAAAAACTGGATGTTGTCACTACGGTAGACATGACTCGGCATCAATTTGGACTTCAAAATAATAATATAATAAAATAATAGTATAAAGCGAACGGAATCCGCTCTACCATATTCACAACACCCAGTGTTTTTATAATGAATAAGATTGTCAAAAGAATTTGAACAAATCAGAAGAAAATATAAACTTTGAGTAGTTTATGCACAATTATGATCATTGTTTACAACGTTATTTCGGGTTAATAATAACACTATGGTTTATTTAATGCCATAATTTTATACTTTCAGTTTAAAAAGTATGTTTTTTAAATATAATTTTAGATCCTAAAATGTATTATTGATAATTTCACTTCTAAAATTTATTGTTGGTAATTTTACTATAAAAATGTACTGTTGATTTTTGTTTGGGGTTCGGTATTTGGTATGTACTACCACCCGTGTCAGGGTAGACATGGAAACAAAATCAGTTAAGAGGTAGTTGCTCGCTCCTCAAAAACTCCAATCTCTCGACCAGGGTCCTTGCTGCCGGATGTACTTTATCGTCATACCCAAGATGGTCTAAAAAAAACAAACAAAAAAAAAAAGCAAAATGGAAAAATACAGTTAAAAAAATGACACACAATGATCTTCTCTATTGAGTTTAATAATACTTTTTCGATGATTTTTTACTGACTATATATATATATATATATATATATATATATATATATATATAGTTTATGAAAAACTAGTTAATCCGTATGGGTAAAAACCTAAGGAGGATAAAATCCAGAGAGCTCAATGTAAATCCAGAGCAAATAACTTAAATAAAAACAGACCACTTTAAGGTTCCATGTAATAAATTATTTCACCACAGTCCTTTTAAAGGAATGCGGATCATCAGTTGTCAATATCTGCTAACTCACTCATGTTCCTCACTTCGTTAATTTACATATGTTTAATACGGCCCGTCAAAAATGTGTAAATTTTCTTTTCATTTTTTGTTTGGAAGTAAAGTCTGATGATCCGCAGTCCTTTAAAAGGGCTGTGGTGAAATAATTTATTATATGGAACCTTAAAGTGGTCTGTTTTTATTTAAATTATAATATATATATATATATATATATATATATATATAACATAACCATATGCGGGGTCACACTTACACAGAAATACGCACAAATCTCTCTCTCTCTCTCTCTCTCTCTCTCTCTCTCTCTCTCTTTAGATATATATATATATAGAGAGAGAGAGACAGACAGACAGACAGAAAGAGAGAGAGAGAGTGAGAATAAGAGTGTAGATATTCCGGTGAACTACAGAATCGATCTGAAATATTTACTGTGATTTATCTGACATTGTTGGAGATCGCATTCTGAGATCCACTTTATAGTTTATGCGTGACATGTTAAAATCGTTTGTATTTCTCACATGAAAGTTTCTTCAGGAACGGTCCGTTTTTAATTTCCTGATCTTTATGCTTCGCCTATATCTATATTTGAAGAATGATCCCCCTATAGGTATTACGCTGGTTATAGCTATACCTACATCTTGACACTCTACGTACCACTTCCTGATTTTATTGTCATCCGTTGATCCATTATCTAGAAATACGTCAGTTGTTCTTACCAGCCGCAGCCTTATATATCCAACATTCATTCTTTCCAGGAGAGAACCATATATACATATATTTAGGTATGCATTATAATAGGCCCAAATTATTCAGATATCTTTTGTTAGGTCGATCTATAAATGTTACGGGTACCGTGTAATACAGCACTTTTTGCTGCATAGTCGGGTCATCGGCCGTTAAACCGATTCCTCCTACTAGGCTTTTCACGTGAAGGTTGCTAGACACCCGAAGGGATTAAAAACATGACTTGTTAAAGGGTGGATGAAACTTATTGTAGGGACAATGGAGCAGACTGGGCTCCGTAGCTATGGATGCAGCCAATATGGTGATGTCATGGTATTCTTGGGCGGGGCACTTCCCAGTGTGAAATCAACGGCCAATGGAATTAAGTTGAATCTTCAAGGTGGGCTCATACCTGGAGAGGGATACCACCGGGTTTATTTGCCAAGATATGCTACGCATGGGTGAATACATTTCCGATCTTCTAAGATATGGTGGAGATGAACTAGTCAAGTGTAGAGTTGCTCACTGACGCTACGTCCACACCGGGTCATGGACTGATGATGATGGTGATGATGATGATGTTGATGATGATGGTGATGATGATGATGATGGTGATGATGATGATGTTGATGATGATGATGGTGATGATGATGGTGATGATGATTAAAATATCCCTGCATTGCCTTAATATTCACTTAGCATAAGTTAACTATTTTAATTTCTAGTATGTTTATGTGCTCACCTCAAATGATGCCCGAATAAACTTAGCACTCATTTATACTTGAGAGAAGCCAGCTGCCAATTTGACCTGAGGTAATGACCGTCTAGATGGAAGTGGATAATTAAAATGGATGAATTTGTTTTTAAACTAGAAATTATAGACGCATTTTCCATATGTTTACCTTAGCTTATTTATATGAAACACAATGTAAAATGATATAGAGTCGAGTTAATGGGTGAATAAATTATGAATCAAGTAAGGGGGGGCCAAGCATGTAATTCGAGATTATGATCTTTGAATCGTTTTGTTTTTTTTAATTGTTATCACCCCAAGCATGGCAGTAATGTCACTAAAACACAAGAGATTACAGGGTGTGGAAGAATTACGAAACAGAAATATTAATGATAAGCAGGAAGAAAAGAGTGTAATCAGGAGGAAAGTAGATAGCAGTTAGCATTGCATTTAAATTTTTGCTGATTAAAGTTGGCTGGAAAGCATGGAGCCGGAAGGGAGTTCCACAAGCGAGAAGTGCGAGAAAATTAACTATTAGTATAGAACGTACGGTTACATTTAGCCAGCTTAACAGTAAATTGATGAGATCTAGACGCGAGTCTATTACTGCGATTAAATTCATGAAGTCTAGTTACCATAGCGAAGAGCTTATTCGAACAATTACCATGAAAATGCTTATAGAAAAAGACACAGAGAGGCAACCTTATGATGATGAGAAAGTGAATGAAGCCGAGCCACCAGATCAGGACCAATAATATTGCTAATTCTTTGAATTTTATCAAGGGGCTCAAGGTAAATAGCAGGGGCACCGGACCATATGTGTCAGTAATATTCTAAGCTTGGGCGAATGGTAGACTTATAGATATGTATGATAGATTCTGGAGAGAAAAATTGTCTCCTTCAACTTTCTTAACAGTTGACCAAGCAATGGATTCAATATAGTGTTTCCATTTCATATCAGCAGAAAACGTGAGCCCGAAAAGACACAAATCACTTTCCTGGAGGTTAGCATCAGCCATGCAGATGGAAGGCAGAGAGGGGTCTTTCAGATGATTAATGGAGAGAGTTTTAGTTTTGGAGGCTTTAAATTTTAACAAGCCATCTTTTGCCCCAGTTAACAATGGACATAAATTTGTTTTGGACATCGGCTGCCATTTTGACTTTGCCATAGTAAATGGTTGTGTCATCAGTGTAGATTCCAAGAGCTGATGTAATCGGGAATGTCGTCAATGACAATTAAAAACAGAGTGGGTCCAAGGATGGGGGTCTGGGGGACACCTGCATTTTTTTCTTTGTTCAGTATCAATGTTGAAATATTACATTTATAACAAAGTAATGAGACAAGCAGACAAAGTAGAATTTTCTTCTCAAAGAAATTCGGCTTTAAAACATGGCGAGCAAATATCGACATGATTGAGGAACAGAAGGAAAATTAAGGAGCAGCCTCAGAATAAATGGGCGTCGTTATATCGCGGAATGCGTATAGGGTGAAAATAATTTTCCTGTGAGTGCAAATGGTCAAATTAAGTATTCATTTGGCCTGTCCTAAAAAAAAAAAAAGAAGAAATATGTGTTATCCATCTAACTTCGTATTTGCGGAGGTGGTTTCTGGGTGCATTTCTATATTCGCTTAGATCACAAGTTTTCTTAAAGAAAAGAATTGCAAATCAATCAGAATTACTCTTGGAAAGATTATTCGTGTTTAGACAAAAACCCATAATACATTTATGCGCGCATGCGTCTGAGGGCAAGCCTGATTATTGAACAGGGTTTTTGATGATGTATTCCAATTACTTAAAGCACTCAGAAAATCAAAACGCATTTTTAAAATTGATTATATATCTAAGTCTGTTCCTATCTATCTATCTATCTATCTGTTCATAACCATGTTCCTATCTGTCTAGCTATTTCTGTTCATATCTATGTTCCTACATATCTGTCTCTATATATGTTTATATCTATCTATCTATCTATCTATCTATCTATCTATCTATCTATCTATCTATCTATGTTCCAATCTTTGTTCCTATCTATCAATCTATGCATCTTTGTTCATATCTATCTATCTATCTATCTACCTATCTATCTATCTATCCAAGTTCGTTTGTAAAGTCGTTGAGATTGTATACGAAGGATAATCTCTATGCGTGTGTGCACACAGAACCATTTACAGAGTCATGATTAGAAAAACACAGAATGAAAGTGAATATAATAACATTCATACGTTAAAAAAAGAGAGCTTTTTACATTTATATACCAATATACGTGGCATGTATACCAGAATGTATATAGAAAGAGGAAGGAGGATGCTTGTAGTCATGGATATACGTACGAAAATGTAGGTATGTATATCTGCAGTATAGCGTTACGCTTGCCTCTATTTTCATTTGTAATTTGATCTTAAAATTATTTGCATATCTGCTTTAATTCGGAAAGATGAGAACAGCCCACACATAATCTACACACACACACACACCTATCTATCTATCTATCTATCTATCTATCTATCTATCTTATATATATATATATATATATATATATATATATATATATATATATATATATATGTTGTGTGTGTGTTTAAACATTTTCTTGATCAATTGTCTTCAACTGTGTTTGTGCTTCTGGGGTATTTTGTTTGCTTTTAATCATTGTTTGATGATTATATTCATCGCTGTTAATAAGCTTAGCTACACTTTATTTACCGGGGGGGCGGAAAACCCTAGCAGTCCGTCCCTCAAATGAGTCCTCCCACTTCAAACTATGTTTGCTTATTTGATTAGAGTTTAGAAAGTGGGTCGGGCCGATATCCTACAAACACCTTCTAGTATATATACACATATAGATTAATATATAGACATAACTCAATACATGAAGAACATCAAATTCTATAGAGGAATGCAGTTGTATTTTAATCAGAATATGTCACAGTAGAATAGTAGTTGTATGGAAAAGTATTTCAGTGTGTTAACCATTGGGGAAATCATGTTGAACATAATTATTTACTGGGTAAAATAAATACCTTTTACATCAGAAGTCTACTAATTTATTAATTATTACGTTTAGTCAAAAGAAATTTCCGTTTTTGGAAATCAATTGTAATGATATGAATGTATCATCCTAATTACTAATCATATGTGGCAGGTAAGAATAAATTTAGATTGCACTAAATTACTTTAGTTTTTGGATAACAGTGACAGCGTACACAGGGGATGAAATGTTTTTTTTCTCCTCCATGACAACACATAGACACATAACACAGACGAATATTTTGGAACTCGGCCTGTTTTACCTGCACCCACAATATTCACCTGACCATACAAAAACCGATTATTACCTTTTTCGACTGTGGCAAAAAAGCTTCGACGATAAAAAACAAAAAAAAACAAAAAACAAACGCTTCTTTAATGAAAACCAAACTCAAGTGTTTGTCGCAAACTTTTCGGCATCACACTTTGCAGATTTTTACTCAAAAGGTAATGAAGACATAATGAAATCATAGCAAATAATAATGAACATATAACTGAATAAAAATCTATTTGTGCGATAACATTAGGAAGAATAAAGTTGATAAAAAAACATTTCTTTAAGACTCAACCTAATAAATTACTTATATATTAGACATAAGTACATCTAAGTACAGCTACTCAGAAGTTCTGTTGTAGTGAAGCAATCTAACGGGCGTCGAATAAATTAATTCCATCACAATTTAGAAATATTCCATGAAAATAAAAGTATCATTCAAACGTTGACTCAAACACAAACGTAAATACACATTCGTTTTATGTACGAGCGATGTGCAATAAGCTTACATTGTTCGGACTGCTGTCCTCATCTTTATCGCCATATTTACGAGGTTTCGGCCGTTGTAAGCTACGGCCTTCTTCAGGTGATATATATTGACATTTCGAACCGAACACTTTATTTCGTCCACTGGGATAAATTGTTTGAGTTATCCACAGGGCCATGTGTCACCAAGAACAAATTCGTTGAATGAAGTAATACAGTGACTTGATCCAAAAGTTGCGAGTTCAATATCCAGCCACAGCAAAAGTGAAAAAAAAACTTGAGGGGTTGAGTCACTAAAGGGAAATAACTGAAACTGAGATATCCAGAAAAGGCATGGCACGTGGAACAAGAAAAATTTATCCCAGTGGACGAAATAAAGGGTTCAGTTCGAAATTTCAACGTATTTTACCTAAAGAAAGCCAGAGCGTACAACGACAGAAATTTCGCGAATTTGACAAATGTTGAAGGTGAATATGACAAAAAAAAAAGAAAGCAAAGTCAGTCCACTATAAATATGCAACAGTCCAAAACACAGTCCGAAAATGTAAATAGTGTAAATAGTTACAATACCTCGTATCAGAAATAGAGATAGATGTTGAAGGTGAATATGACAAAAAAAAAAGATGAAAGCAACAGTCCGAACACTGTAAATAGTGTAAATAGTTACAATACCTCGTATCAGAAATAGAGACAGATGTTGAAGGTGAATATGACAAAAAAAAGATGAGGTCAACAGTCCGAACACTGTAAATAGTGTAAATAGTTACAATATCTCGTATCAGAAATAGAGACAGATGTTGAAGGTGAATATGACAAAAAAGATGAGGACAACAGTCCGAACACTGTAAATAGTGTAAATAGTTACAATACCTCGTATCAGAAATAGAGACAGATGTTGAAGGTGAATATGACAAAAAAAGATGAAAGTCCGAACAATGTAAATAGTGTAAATAGTTACAATACCTCATATCAGAAATAGAGACAGATGTTGAAGGTGAATATGGCAAAAAAGATGAAAGCAACAGTCCGAACACTGTAAATAGTGTAAATAGTTACAATATCTCATCTCAGAAATAGAGACAGATGTTGAAGGTGAATATGGCAAAAAAGATGAGGACAACAGTCCAAACAATGTAAATAGTGTAAATAGTTACAATACCTCATCTCAGAAATAGAGACAGATGTTGAAGGTGAATATGACAATAAAGATGAGGAAACAATCCGAAACAATGTAAAATAGTGTAAATAGTTAAATACCTCATCTCAGAAATAGAGACAGATGTTGAAGGTGAATATGGCAATAAAGATGAGGACAACAGTCCGAACAATGTAAATAGTGTAAATAGTTACAATACCTCATCTCAGAAATAGAGACAGATGTTGAAGGTGAATATGGCAAAAAAGATGAGGACAACAGTCCGAACAATGTAAATAGTGTAAATAGTTACAATACCTCATCTGAGAAATAGAGACAGATGTTGAAGGTGAATATGGCAATAAAGAAAGGAAACATCCGAACAATGTAAATAGTGTAAATAGTTAATAATACCTCATCTGAAAAATAGAGAAATAGAGAAAGGTTGAAGGTGACAAAAAAGATGAGGACAACAGTCCGAACAATGTAAATAGTGTAAATAGTTAGAAATAGAGACAGATGTTGAAGGTGAATATGACAAAAAAGATGAGGACAGCAGTCCGAATACTGTAAATACTGTAAATAGTTACATTACCTCGTTTCAGAAATAGAGACAGATGTTGAAGGTGAATATATAATAAAGATGAGGACAACAGTCCAAATAATGTAAATAGTGTAAATAGTTAATAATTTCATCTCAGAAATAGAGACAGATGTTGAAGGTGAATATGACAAAAAATGAGGACAACAGTCCAAACAATGTAAATAGTGTAAATAGTTACAATACCTCATCTGAAAATAGAGACAGATGTTGAAGGTGAATATGACAAAAAAGATGAGGACAGCAGTCCGAATACTGTAAATACTGTAAATAGTTACATTACCTCGTTTCAGAAATAGAGACAGATGTTGAAGGTGAATATGACAAAAAAGATGAGGACAGCAGTCCGAATACTGTAAATACTGTAAATAGTTACATTACCTCGTTTCAGAAATAGAGACAGATGTTGAAGGTGAATATGACAAAAAAGATGAGGACAACAGACAGAACAATGTAAATAGTGTAAATAGTTACATTACCTCATCTCAGAAATAGAGACAGATGTTGAAGGTGAATATGGCAAAAAGATGAGGACAACAGTCCGAACAATGTAAATACTGTAAATAGTTACAATACCTCATTTCAGAAATAGAGACAGATGTTGAAGGTGAATATGACAAAAAAGATGAGGACAACAGTCCGAACAATGTAAATCTGTAAATACTTACAAACCTCATCTCAGAAATAGAGACAGATTTGAAGGGGAATATGGCCTCGATTTCAGAAATTGAAATAGTGTAAATAGTTACATTACCTCATTTCAGAAATAGAGACAGATGTTGAAGGTGAATATGACAAAAAGATGAGGACAACAGTCCGAACAATGTAAATACTGTAAATAGTTACAATACCTCATCTCAGAAATAGAGACAGATGTTGAAGGTGAATATGACAAAAAGATGAGGACAGCAGTCCGAATAATGAAATACTAAATAGTTAAATACTCATTTCAGAAATAGAGACAGATGTTGAAGGTGAATATGACAAAAAGATGAGGACAACAGTCCAAACAATGTAAATTCAAATAGTTAAATACCTCATTGAGATGAGAGATGTTGAAGGTGAATATGAATAAAGATGAGGAAACAGTCCAAATAATGTAAATAGTGTAAATAGTTACAATAGTTTCTCAGAAATAGAGACAGATGTTGAAAATATGGCAAAAAAGATGAGGACAACAGTCCGAATAATGTAAATAGTGTAAATAGTTACATTACCTCATCTGAGAAATAGAGACAGATGTTGAAGGTGAATATGACAAAAAAGATGAGGACAAGTGTCCAAACAATGTAAATAGTGTAAATAGTTACAATACCTCATCTCAGAAATAGAGACAGATGTTGAAGGTGAATATGAATAAAAAAGATGAGGGCATTTACAGTCCGAAAATATGATAAGATGAAATACTGTAAATAGTTACATTACCTCATTTCAGAAATAGAGACAGATGTTGAAGGTGAATATGACAAAAAGATGAGGACAACAGTCCGAATAATGTGTAAATAGTGTAAATAGTTACAATACCTCGTTTCAGAAATAGGACAGATGTTGAAGGTGAATATGACAAAAAGATGAGGACAACAGT